CTCTCTCTCTCTCTCTCTCTCTCTCTCTCTTTATATATATATATATATATATATATTCTCTCTTTCTTGAAGTTTCTTACATTAATAAAGTTAAAAAAAAACGAACTAATTTGTTTAGCAATACAATGATGTACTTTTATACATGTATAGTTTGCTGTCGAGCTTTTTCTCATCTTTGTATGTTAACGATGCTTCGAATCGCGTTTTTTCTCGATGTAATCTCTATTCAAAACCTTAATTTAGCTTGTTTGAAAGTAAAATGCAGTTAATGATTAAACAATATTAAGTATTAAGTAGTTAAATAATATACATATATATGGCTTTGCACGCAAACATAATATACGCCCGTTTACCTAACACGACAAATATCCTTATTACTGACTATGATATGGACGAAGTGAAACATTGTCGGAGCGATTACAAAGCAACTTTGCAAGGTTAACAGCGTTGTTGTCTGCAGAAATTACGATCGGCTAATGTCGCACGCTTGCGCGATCTGTGTTTAAAGCGCCCTTGTTATAAATAATTCTCGCCATTCGAAATTACGATGCGTGCGACGTGTCGTTAACCCGTTTTCGCAAGGCGTATCGAATAATTTGTAGGGGGAAGAATCTCGCGGTGGCAAGAGAGAGAGAGGGAGGAGAGGGTCGCGAAAATGAATAGCCGTTGGCAAGGCTGAGAGGTACCGTACCACGTGTCCTGACACGCTGCATATAGGTATATATACCTCTCTCCGTGTGCATATATGCCGCGCGTAGCGCTGAACTGAGAACATGTGTTGCCACGCCTAAATGATCGAAGAGCCGAGCGCTCGGCGGAATAATTATCTTGTCTTACTAACAACGAAGGTTTTTGTCATAATAGGTGCCGTCGCATTTGCCGTTGCGTTTCAACCGTGTCTCGAAAAGTTGATGCGCGCGTATATGTGTGTGTGTGTGTGCGACAACATTTTTCTCTTTCCACCTGTCATATATAGATGTTAGAATAAATCTCTCTCTCTCCTTTTTTTATCGACGATATTTTCGACGTATATGAAATTTGTCGAGACATTGCCGTTTAAGAAAAACTACGCGCGGCGAATGTTGTTGACACAAGTAAGTGCAGGTAAAAGGAATATCGAAGATATGAAGGAA